ATACAAAGGTGAATTTACAAGAGTGATAAATACGATTTAACACTCGAAAGTAAACAATGCCAAATGAGAGTAACTTGTATTATACAAAAAAGACAATCAACTCTCTTAAGTCAATAACACTATTTTTAAAGAAAAATAAACACAAATACAAAAGTAAATCATAGTTGTGTAGCAACGCATCAATATCTCACTTAGAGCTACCAAAAATGCATTGTTAAGTATGCGCCTAGCTGACGAAGCACTAGTGTTAAAAGAAGTTCAGTAGATGTATTTTGCCTATAATAATAATAATAAAATATTTTATTTTGATAAACTGTACAAATTATTCCAATAAGTCTTAACTTAAAAATAGTCTACAATAACAGGCACCTGAACTAGGATAAACCTGTATCTCAGGTGTATGTGCTAAAAGATACATTAACAAATATTTTCTGTTTCTTATATAAAATGAATAACGTACTAACTAATAAGGGTTATTTGGGTAAAATGTATCATCATTGATTTACTTATGATATTAATTAACTTAAAACAATCAGCAACTTCTCCGTATCATCGTATGACAAATTTTGTAACCATGTTCGAATTACCTTTTTTACAGTCTGTATTTTTTAATGGATATATGTACAAAATTGCATTGACTTGATAATACAAAATATATATATATATTGTATAATCTATAATTTGTAGATGGAGACTTAAAATTTTGTTGTATCTAAGAGGTTTGGCAGGACAGCTAACATGTAGTTGAGATAAAAACTCAGGACAGTCAATAGAACTACAAGCTATTTTTAACAGAAAAGTGAGGTCAGCAATCTCACGACGCATAGCAAGAGGAAGAAGGTGATGTTTTTTACAATAACTAATATAATTATCTGAAGTATAGCGATAGTCATTGGTTCTATAACAGAGGTAACGCATAAACTTACTTTGGATATTTTCAAGTCGGGTAATATATTATATGTTGCATACCTGGGGTTTCTGATTTGAGATGCGTACTCCAAATTACTTCTTACAAGAGAACAATATAGGATCTTTAGAGTTTTAGCTTTGGTGAAGTCCAAAAGCTAAAAAAGCAAGATACGCATCAAAAATCCAAGAGCTTTCGTAGATTTGGTTATAACGCTTCCTAAGTGAACGTCAAATATCAATTTGGAATCATGAAGAACATCGAGATCTCTAACAATGGAATCCCTTTCAAGATTTTCAACTTTCAATTTATATTTAAAGACAATCGGTTTATATTTGCGAGTATAGGATATAAAGCTACATTTCGAAGGGTTCAAATCTAAGAAGTTTAGGTGGCAATAACGCTCTAGATTTGACAGATATTCTTGTAGAGCCTTGGCATCCTCTATTGATGTTATTTTCAGAAATAGCTTCATATCATCGGCAAAACATAATAAGCGAGCTTTCTTCAGGTAATAGGTAACGTCATTGATAAAAATAACAAATAATAACGGACCCAGCTGTGAGCCCTGTGGCACCCCACTTGGAACAGTTACCCATCCTGATATGTAGTTGCTGACGACAACAGCTTGTGATCGATTATTTATATAAGACGTAAACCACCTAAGCAGATCGCCGTTTATACCGATCTGGGACAGTTTCAGCAATAGCAAATTATGATGTATTCTGTCAAAGGCTTTACTATAATCGGTGTAAACGACATCTACCTGGTGGCGATTGTCCATTGCCTCAGTCAAATATGCATTAAAGAGCGCAAGATTTGAAACAGTAGAGCGTCCTCTTAAAAACCATGTTGAGTCGGATTGAATGAATGCTTTAGGGCCGCGTATAATTGATTATATTATATAATTCGTTCGAACACTTTAGATACAATACATAACTTGGAAATCGGTCGATAATTAGTAACTTCGGTCTTGGAATCCTTTTTATATACAGGCGTGATAAATGCACGCTTCCACATGGTAGGAACAATACCTGTACTAAGGGACTTTTTAAACAAAATAGTCAAAGGAACACAAATTGTATGCGCACAGTTAATAAGAAAGTGAGCTGGAATGTTATCGGGACTAGCAGATTTCGTTGGATCCAACGTTTTAAGCAGGTTGTTGACTGTATTTTCGTTTATATCAATTGAGGTGATATCTACACTCGACTGAGGCAACACTTGAGAATCATTATAATTATTTTTAGATAGCTGAGTATTACTATCACCCGAAACAAAAAAAATTTGAACGAAAATAGTTTGAAAAAGCATTACAGATAAGTTCGCCAGAGTTAATTACAGAACCTTCAAGTTTGAGACAACAAGGTATTGAATGTGATTTTGATTTTTGTTTAATATACGACCGGAAGTGTTTCGGATTTGCACTAATCGAATTTTGCACAGAAAATTGATATGCTAACTTTTCTAATTTCCTTACACGCTCTTGCAATAGCATAAAAGTTTCATTGTCATGCCTACAGCCATAAATCCTAAATTTACGTAAAAATTTATGTTTTTCTTTAATAGCTTTTTTAAGTGGTGCTGTATACTATTTGGGATAAGTGTCGGCAAGAATTAATTTTGAGAGGATATATTTATCTCTAAGTGACGTGAGTGTGCTATAAAAATATTGAACAGATTCATCTAAGGATAACGGAGACATAACTTCACCCCATTGGATACTGGCAATCTCACCATTTATTGAATAATGTCACCTTTATGATATAAGAACTTGAGAATTGCTATTTAATGAGTCACAATCAACGTTATCAAAAGATATTAAAAGGGCACCATGATAAGGATCAACAGGAATAAGAGAATCCCCACTTAAATCACGAACGGTTACAGCGTCGATAGAAAAAACAAGGTCAAGGATCCTGCCATGGGCATTTTTATACAATTAAATTGTCTCAAATTTAGCCAGTTTATTCACCTATTAATAAAATTTCATTTCCCGAACGAATATTTGTACCTAAAAATGAACCGTCGGCGGCGTCGACGTCAGGAATCCATATAATATCACTAATATTAAAGTCGCCAACTAATAAAAAGCTAACTCCAAGTGACTCATGACAACTTCGCTAACCGAGTGCAAATAATTTTGAAGTTGAGCAGTAAAACTGAGACCCCGATTTTCGTTACACAAATATAAGATACAAATATGCAAGTTCTTGTGTTTTTTACTAATGGTAATATTGTGAATAGACAACGTTAACCATAGGTCCTCAGCACTTGAATGAAAGGAAGGCTACGGGATAGCTTCCAGATCTTTACGCGTCGCAATCAAAACACCACCACCGTATTTCTGACCAGTAACTGTGTAATTCCTATCACGCCGCCATACAACGTATCGATTATCAAATAATTCCGTATCACTAATTCTGTCCAGGAGCCATGTCTCCGTAATTAATATTATATCATAATCACATAAAAGAATATTACGATAAAATATGTCGGTTTTAGTGCGCAAGCCTCTTGGGTTTTGATAATATATTCTTAGGTTGTCACTGGTACACCCTACACGTACACTATTATTATGTAGCATAGCCATTTTTAAGCCTATCAATAACCAAGATAATTTTACTACAATAAAGGAATATATATCTCCCGTCATATTTCAAAAACCCCTTAGTAAAATTAGAAAACAATATACTGTTGCGCGGCTAAGTTGACATCTGGCAATAGCGCCATCTAGTGTCGGGTAACAGAGCGAAGAGAGAGCTTTCCAGAAAATGACATCACTAATCTTTCAACCGACAGCGCCATCAAGTATCGAATTGAAGAACTAAGCTTTCTGGAAGCCCCAACTAACTTTCTGCGCTTGGTCGGTTGGCGCGCGTATTTACTCGAATATTCTGGAATATTCTGGATGTTTTCGTGGAAGAGCCCTATCATAAAGGCGCTGCAATACGCGATCGGGGGAAGTATTGAATTTGGCGAGACAAGCGAAGCTTCGGAGCGAAATAAAGTGAATCAGTGTGATTAATTATTAGTGTTTTAAGTTTAAATTTGTGTAAAGAAAATTAAAGTGTTAATTTAGGTAATTTTATCGGCAATTTTTATTGTCACGAACCTCAAGCTCGTAACAATACCAATATTTATAAAATCACTAAGACTATAATAAGTTAGCATATAACGTTTACAAACGGGTAGAAAAAATAAAACTGTATCATCTAATGAGTGCAAAATATGATGCATACTTAAGCGACCGTCAACAGAAGCAAGCAACTGATAACAGATAGGCAATTTTAACAAATAGCGATGCGTCAACGAAGCAGGTAAGGCAGGGGTAACAAGCATTTTGTAACTATTTTTAAAAACGGCTTCGTAATTCCATAAAAGCAAACGTTAATTATACAGAGGTAATAATTTTTAAATAAAATTAAAAGAAGTAATGTAAAGAGATATTAATAAACAATAGATTAAGCTATTTTGTTTAAATCAGCCTCTTTAGTAATAATTAAAACCGGCGAAGTATCATTTTTACGAACGTGATGTTTTCCGTATTTGACCCAGATATAAGAATAACCTCGGTCTTTTGCGAAGGTCCTTGTTTTGGTAAGAAGTTTTTTGTGCTCTGGAGTCAAATGATCATTTACTAAAACGCGTTGACGATTGTCTCCAAATCCAACATCCTTCGCCTCTAGAGTTTTGCAGGCGCGTGCAGCTGTTACAAATTCTTCTTTGACATAACGATTTATGAAATTGATAATGATGGCCTTCTCTTTGGTAATAAACATTGGTACTCGGGATATGTAATTGATTTGAGATTTTCGGAATTCATACTCAACTGCTTTACCCAAAAACTCCGCAATTACAAATAGGTTTTCATTGAGTTTTAGGGGGATGCCCTTTACCTCAACATTACTCAGCCGTGACTATTGTTCCTTGGACTCAATAACACTTTTAAGATTAGCTATTTCCTTGTTGGCCACAGCGAGAGTATTTTGAATCTTTTCTATATGAGATACACCACGTTCCAAACTGGAGACTTGATCTTGAAAAGATTTAAGTGAACTACTGTTGTACTCACAAGACTCCTTCAGATGGATTAATTCAACTTTAATAGATTTGATGTCTTCGATAAGACTTGGAACTGTTGTGACCAGCCAACAACACCAGCAACATCCAAGGTCGCCGACTCCCCACCAGAATTGCCACCAGGGTTGGTTTCAGAACTTGGACGGGAGGGGCTTAAGGAAACCTTTATGCACTGAAGGCATTTCCATTGTGCTCTTCGATCTGCTCCTAAGTTCCGAAAACCTCGCTCCGTTATACCAGCACAACCAAAGCCGTAGTGTTTTTTACAAACATAACATTGCGCTCCATCATTGAACTCATTTGAACACGATTCACAGATATTCATTGTTGAAGTAACAGTATCAATGACGTAGATAGTAGATACGTAAACAAGAGTGCAAACGTTTAGCTATACGCGTGCGCCTGTGTCGTGCGCTCACTGCTCACTAAATAGTATACGCAGATAAATAGATGTGAAAGAAGCAAGAGAGATGTGTATCAGGGTCAAGGGAAAATAAGTAGTGTAATTTTTAGAAAATGTTCTAAAACGTTGACGCTGTGGTATTGTTTACTTCACTTAAAAGAGTTAAAAACTAAACTATAAAAAGTGAAATTTGACTTGTATAAAATAAAGGCATTTTCAAGCTACTTTCTTTAAAACTTTTTTCAGAAAATAAAGTTTGGTTCAAAACGTTTCACGTGCGGTACAGAATATAACCCGATAAGGTTTGAGGAAACTTATTAAAACAGCACAACGGAATTCGTTGACCCATTTAATTTTAACATATCACCTCGATTACGCATTCAGTGGAAAACATCGGTGCCATATAACAGTAGTGTAAAATACCCAAACCGGAGAGGGGCAGCAACTTCGTTGGTCCGAATAATTTGGTACAGGGTCCGTCGACAATTTAGGCAAATCCTCGATACAACGGGAGGGGCTCATGAACAGCTGTGGACATTTACGGTCTTGTGATGAAAAAATGTACATATTGTTACGAGCTTGAGGTTCGTGACAATAAAAATTGCCGATAAAATTACCTAAATTAACACTTTAATTTACTTTACACAAATTAAAGTTAAAACACTAATAATTAAACACACTAATTCACTTAATTCCGCCCGAAACTTCGCTTGTTTCGCCCAAATCAACACTGCCTCCATCGCATCTTGCAGCGCCTATATATTTAAATTAGCAAAGAAATATCCAGAATGTTCAAGTAAACACGCGGAAGGTACCGAGCGTTCGAGTTTCGACTAGGCGCTGTCAGTTGAGCGATTTGTGATGTCATTTTCTCAATGCTCCCCTCGCTCTCGTTCCTGACACTAGATGGCGCTACTTGACTTATTCATGCAACACTGCCCCCTCCTAAGACATGCTCGTCCCGAGCATTATCGGTCCCATAATAATGCGCCAAGCGATCCACATGGACGATCTTAGGAGTCCCTCTTGCGCCTTTCTGTATCCGGTAGGTCACATCGTTGATCCTGGTTACAATCCGGTACGGGCCGTCCCATTTAGCTTGAAGCTTAGGAGATTTCCCTTTGCTGCGGACTGGATTGTGCAACCACACAAGTGAACCTTCGTCGAACCCTTTGTTGTTCATTTTGCGGTCATACCGGGTTTTCATATTTTCAGACATTTGCTGGCCCGATTGTCTGACGTGCTCATAAACGTCATTCATTTTTTTCCGCAAGTCATTTGCATAATCGGTTATACTGCGTGGAGCATCGGGTGGTATCCCGGTGATCAGGTCTGCAGGCAGCCGTAATTCTCTTCCAAAGTTTGCGAAAGCTGGTGTCACTGCTGTACTTTCGTGAACAGAACTTCGATATGACAACAAAAACGATTGTATGTGCTTGTCCCAATCTCGTTGCCGATTGTCTACAACTTTTGCTAGGTACCTCTCCAATGTCTGATTAAATCGTTCCACCATTCCATCAGATTGCGGGTGATAAGAAGTCGTTCTTGTTTTATGAGTACCCATAACTCGGCAAGTTTCCTGGAATATTTGAGACTCAAAATTCCTTCCTTGATCGCTGTGAATCTCTAAAGGTACTCCAAAACGACAGAAGACTTCATGAACTAGTTTATCTGCAACTGTTGAAGCTTCTTGATTTGGAATGGCGAAGACTTCTGGCCACTTAGTGAAGTAATCCATCACAACCATGAAATACTTGTTACCGCTTTCACTCTCCGGAAACGGCCCCGCCACGTCAATGGCTATTCTCTCCCATGGTGCACCAACATTGTACAACTTCAATGCACCTCTACTACGAGTCTGAGGTCCCTTTACAGCCGCACAACTTGTACATTTGCGACACCAGTCCTCGACATCGTTTCGACAGTGGACCCAGTAAAACCGTTCTCGGATCTTCAGTAGAGTTCGTTTAACTCCCAGATGGCCTCCTGAACAATCATTATGGTACAGCTGTAGAACATCCGGTACTTTAGCTTTAGGGACAACCATTTGTAAATAACAGCTGTCTCCCCGAACATTTTCCCATTTACGGCACAGAACTCCATCCTGAAGCAGCAAGCTGTCCCACTGGGCCCAATAGCTTTTAGTGGTTGAACTCATTGCTGAGACGTCGCTCCACTTAGGCTTGGGAGCACTGGCCCTTATCCATTCCAGAATCGGCTTGATGTCCGGATCTTCCTGCTGTGCATGTTGTAAGCTGTCCTTCCATTCGTTGCTGAGGTGGTCCGTCCTGAGCATCCTCACGGATACCTCTTCCTTACTCTCTTGCCTAGTACAATGGTTGCAATCTTCAGGACAAGGTCTTCTTGACAATGCATCTGCGTTGCCGTGAGATTTTCCGCTGCGATGTTCGATCTCAAAGTCGTATTCCTGCAGTAGTTCAATCCACCTCGCAACTTGTCCTTCTGGATTTTTAAACTGCAATAGCCATTTTAGTGCAGCATGGTCAGTTCGTAAGTGAAACTTTCGTCCCAGAAGATATTTGCTAAAATGCTGCAACGACTTTACCACAGCGAGCAATTCGCGTCTTGTGACACAATAGTTCCTTTCCGGTTTTGACAACGACTTGCTGAAGTACGCTATTACGACCTCTTGGTCACCATTCCGTTGAGACAACACACCGCCGAGTCCTATATCACTTCCGTCTGTGTCAACTATAAATTCTTTGCTTGCATCAGGGTATCCCAAAATAGGTGTTTTGCACAGACGGTCCTTGAGCTCCTGGAATGCGATATTGCAACTTTCATCCCAGCAGAAATGTCGCTTCTCCTCGGTTAGCTTGTGCAGAGGTTTGGCTATATCTGCAAAGTTCTTCACGAATCGCCGGTAATAGGAGCACAAACCCAAAAATGCTCTAACCTGCGTCTTGTCTTTTGGAACCGGCCAATCCTTGACAGCGGCGATTTTCTCTGGATCTGTGCGGATACCTTCTTCCGATACTACAAACCCCAAAAGTCAACTTGCCGTTGAAATAGTGAACATTTCTTCGGGCTCAACTTGAGGTTGGCACTCTGAATCTTCATGAGCACTCGTTCCAGGTTTTGAAGGTGTTCCTCAAACGTACGGCCCACGATGATGATGTCATCCAAGTAGACCAGACAGGCATCGCCAATTAGCCCGGTAAGTACAAGTTCCATCAGCCTTTCAAACGTTGCTGGAGCATTGCACAACCCAAACGGCATTACTTTGAATTGCCACAGACCCTTTCCCGTCGAGAACGCAGTTTTCTCCTTGTCCTTAGGGTCAATTTCAACTTGCCAGTAGCCACTTTTTAGATCCAGCGTGCTAAACCATTTTACTCCTGTAAGCATGTCCAGCGTGTCATCAATTCTTGGCAAGGGATAGCTGTCCTTCTTTGTAACGTCGTTCAGACGGCGGTAATCAACACAGAACCGCATGCTGCCATTCTTCTTTTTCACCAGCACCACTGGTGAACACCATGGACTAGAGGAAGGTTCAATAACACCATCCTTCACCATTCCTTCAATCATGGTTTCCACTTCCTTTTCACGTGCTACCGGCAATCTTCTTGGCCGCTGACGGATAGGCAATTCCTCTCCTGTGTTTATTTTGTGTTGAACTAGGCCAGTCTTTCCTATGTCAGCATCATTTGATGAGAATACATCGGCGTACTTGAGTAACAACTTCTTCGCCTTGACCAATTCGTTCGGGGACAGAACACTGCGACAGTCTTCCAAAAGTGTGGTCACTCTCGTTTCTGAATCCTTGCTGGGGGTCCCACTCGATATATATTGGCACTGACGTAACCAATCCACTTCCTCACAAGTACCAACCAGTGTGCCCTTTTCTATAATCTGTTCCCGGTCGCAAAGGTTCAGCACACGTACTCCTGAGATGTCAGTGGTCCTGACCAAGGTTCGAGCTACTTTCCATGGAAGGTCATTGTTTACCCTTTCCACAAGTACACAACGGTGAGCTTGCCCAGCGTTTCGAGGAAGACTAACCGGAACAATCGTTTCCGATCTCGGCGGAAGAACAATCTTCTTGATGCTGTACACGTTCCCTGGTAACGCACCTTCCATAAAAAGTTCCTCCTGTCCACATTTCAAAACACCTTGCTTAACGTCGATCTCGCAACAATTATTCCTAATAAAGTCTAAGCCTAGGATGCAGTCGTCCATTATATCAGCCACGATGACATTATGCAGGTAGATCACGTTGCCTAGCTTCAACTCCATCTCCTTCTCTCCACGGACGGGTATACGCTGACCGGTGGCTGTTACCAAATTAATGCGTTCTCGGTTGTATGCGGAGTCCCCAAGGAACTGCCTTATAAGTTGGGAACTAACAACCGTACGAGAGGCTCCAGTGTCTATGGTCAGTTTACACGGCGTTCCGTTGACCTCGCCCTCGATGATTAGACTGTTCCCGTCACGGGTTTGTGAGATCGAGATCCTTGGGGCTCTTTTAACATCAGCCAGCACCCGCCCCGCGGTTCTGGCTTTTACTCGTTTCCCTGCTGCTGCAGGGCGGTGCTTTTGGCCGCACTACCCTCCTGAGATCGTTCACCTTCCCTTTCTAGGGTTCGCTTAGGGCAGCTGGATCGAAGATGGCCCTTTTCCCCACAGCCATAGCACCTAGGGCTGTATCCTCTGTTGCGGTCGCGAACTGTAGCTGGTGCAACCTCCCTGACGCGATGGGAACGATGATCCTGCCGCACGGCTTCCACTTCCAGTGCATGGGCCAAGGCGTCCTTAAGCGTCTCGTGGTGCCCGAGCCTCACAGCAGCTCTGACTTCCAGGTCGCGGATGCCGTCGATGAATGTCTGCACCAGGTTCCCTTCAATGAGCGCAGGTACAGACCGGTATGCTTTTCGCACCAGCTTCTCCACTTCTAGAGCCCA